GCTTCTGGCTCCGCCGCAAGTCCTGTGATCTGTCCTGTCCTGTCCTGTCCTGAACTGAACCTGAACCACATTACGGACACGGTGGTGTTTTCTGTTAAGATGAAGCTCACTGATCCCACCGTCAGAACTTTTAAACCCGTTAAATACTTCAAAGAGAACTTTGATCGTATAAACTCCTTGAGCTACTCAAGTAATGGAGAAACACTCATTTCCAGTAGCGATGATGACCAAATGGTTATGTATGATTGCACTAGTGGAACGTAAGTTGCTGCGCCATTGCTCTACAGTATTTAGGCCAAAGCGAACGCTAAATAGCAAGAAGTATGGGGTTAATTTGATTCAGTTCACTCACAGCCCGACGACGGCGATTCATGCATCCACTAAAATTGACGGTATTTGTAATGATACTAAATTATAATCCGTTCTAGACACTATTCGGTATCTTTCTTTGCACGATAATAAATACATACGTTACTTTCAAAGTCACACGAAAAAGTATTTTCGTTTTCTCTATGATGCAGTTTTAGAGTTGTATCATTATGCATGTCACCTATTGACGATACCTTTCTCTCGGGAGCCATGGACTGCACTATCCGCCTTTGGGATTTACGTTCCCCAAATTGTCACGTAAGCCAATTATTCGTGTTTTACATGACAACGTGATTGGAAGCCATAACATTCCCAGGTGTGGGTATTGTCAGCTCTCCATGAACTAGTGCTTCTGGTGCCTCATTGCTACTGATTTATACATTGAACCCGTGAAGTACTTCAATACTTCAAGGCTATCAACCTTGTGACTAGCGACATTTTTTGAGTTGAACAAGAACAAGAAATATATGACTAGTATAAAATTTAGTTTCCATTTATGCGGGTATCTCAGTTGTTGGTTTTCAAACTACATACGCCGTGCATCTCTGTTACACTTGTAATAATATTGTTTTTACCATACGGTTTTTAGTGTTCGTGTTTTCCATGGAATATGATCTCTCTTGTGTAAGTTCACAGACGCTATGGTTAGTCTATTAGTGTTTGTATGGATCACCATCTGATAGTTCTGTACTTCCCCATATGTGTCCGTTAGTACTTGTGTTTGCGAAGTTTTCCGTATTTCTACATTGTCGAGGGTTTTTGTAAGCCACACATAACGTAGTTCTGCCTTTATTGGAGAAAGGCAGACATCCGGCTCAGTCAGTCCATTTTTGCTTTGGACTTGTTTCTGTTGCTTTTCTAGTTGTTTCGTGCGTGCTACGCGTGATCTCATGAATTTCTTGATACTTAAAAGCCTCTTCCAGTATCCTATAGTTGTTAGTGATCGTCAGCCCAATTTTACGACTCGGTCCGTAGTTCATGGTCCTTTTGAGTGGCGTAAGCATATGATCATTATCATCATCAAACAGCGAAATACGGTAAAGCGAACTTCACTGATAGCTGTCAAACTAACAAAGCATATAAGGTAAGTGTGGATGTATAAGGTGGTCAGGGATTAAGCCTCTTTTCTGGGAGGGAAAAGAAATCCAACCTGTATAGTCAACATAAATTACACAGTTCGACTGTGCATACACTTCAAGCATTCTGGTCTGATACAAAGTGCCAACAAGACCGCTACTGCTGTCGACCCACTACCACATCCTTCGGTGCGACCAACCAGTCGCAGAGTCCTGGACCTCAACCTGGAAGATGGGAGATACGTGCTCTACGTAAGCGCTCTGCGCATTAATTCACGCCTCTTTTTCAAACCATCTGTTGGCCACGTGGCTTTCTCCATCCCGATGCGGCTACTGCAAGTAAGGCGCAGTATGGTAGACGACAACCTGACATACACAGTACGCGTCCCAACCAGTGAGACCTTTTGAGCTGAGTTCGTGGTGTTAGCAGGCTTGTACCTGATACCCACCGGATTACTAACTCGTTTACTCCATCGCGCGTGCGCGAAACTATCTTAGCATCGATAGTCGCGAATTTCCAACCAATGGTTACCTACGCGCAAATTCGAGGTCTCATAACCATAAAGCACAGCTGAAAGAGGTGGCACGATAAATACGACTTTTCAACTTCAGTGGAACATCACGGCGTCGCCACATTGCTTCAGTTCTGCATATTCTGCACGGTTCTTGGAAATGTGTGCTTTTATCTCCTTTATTGCTCTGCCTTCTTTGGCCAGACATTTGCCCAAGTAAAAGAAGCGATCAGCGCCAACCACTTCCTGACGATCTAGTTCTAGAACAGGACTAGTCGACTCCATCTTGTAGCTTTGTACCTTTAGGGTACAAAGTGAACTTGTCAGTCTGTCAAGTGCACTTTGCGTGTCCTCCGTAGATTCAATGAGTGTCATCAGCGTACCGTAAATTGCTGTTTTTCTATAGCTACCCATTGGATACCTCGATGCATTCTCCAGTATTTTGTCCACAACAACATCGAACAGGAACGGCGAAATGGAGCACTCTTGCTGAACACCGCTGGTTTTGAACGATCTACTTAACTTGCCGTAGACCATTATACTACCAGAAGTATGCGAGTACGATGACCTCAATAACTTTACATACACCAGCGTTCACGGACATTCGTCTCACGTAGGGGCTTGAAAAATCGAAGTATGACGAATACTTTAGTGACTATTGGGACCAAACCTAACCCGGGTGGTTTGCGCTGTCATTGCAAGATCCTTTGGTGGAAATTGGAATAATTAATTAATTAGCACCAAGATGTAGTGTAAGTCAGTAACAGTCTACCAGGTCGTCACCCCTCATCTTGAGAAGAGCGAGAGGCTCATCTGACCCTGCTGCCTGTCCTTCAGGGATTTAATGCAAAACAACACTTCTGCTTCAGTAGGAGGGAAGATTGTAGTGTTAAAATCGGTGTCAGAGAGAAAAAGCTACGGTTGAAGGGATAATAGGTAAATGCACGAGCGCCACTGTTTGCGACACTTGGTGATTTCACTCAATGTCTCTAACCAATAATTACGTTCATCCCGATGTCTCCGTGCAGGAAGCTTAGCGCGGCCTACATTAGCAATTCTCCTGGTCGGGGGTTTTCGTACTCTCATGCCAGGTCTGAGTTTTACCACCCTTGGCCTTTTCCCCACCCACTACCTGCCTCAGCAAACAGCATGCGCCGTTACAGTCTATTTAGTACCATGCGCGACACATGCCCGGTGGTTTAATCGTAGGTGCTTCTTTAGAAAACCCTCCTCATCCTTCCGGTTACTGTTTTCACTTCGAAATCTTAGGAGATGTATCCATGGAATGTCACTCAGCGCTCAACTAATATAATCAACCCCTAGGAATCTATCAGATTTTTGAAACCGAATTCTCCTTTTCACTTAGCCGCATTTAATGTCCGCACACTATCAGATCGGGGTTTTATTACACACTTTCGTGTGATGAACAGCAAAACGGGGCAACCCCTGGTCACGAGGACCTGCAGTTCAGTGATGGAAACCGGTAACCTAAGCCCCGGGGCTTGGAGTGGTGAACCACTAGGTCCCGATAGGTTGCGCGTTGTATTAAACCGGACGACAGCTACCTACCACTTAGGTCTGGTGTTGTTGGTGGGGCTCGAACCTCGGACCATAGGGTCCAAAGCACGCCTGTGACAGCGATTAAACCATTGCGCCACCATCACCACCGCCCTTAGCAAGAACCTTTGCAACTTTCAATTTAAATGTATGTTGTGTCTCCGAAACACGCATACAAGACTACTTCAGTCATCACCTTGCGATCTCCAGATCCAACCTCATCACGCATCACTCTTCGTATGTCAGGCAGTGTGGCATCCGAAGGTCGCGGTGTTGCTGGCGTCGGGATAGCACTAAGTGTCAAAACCGAGAGTTCACTTCTCGACTGGGTCCCGGTGAGCAGCCGACTATGAGCTGTGCGTTTGGATGGTTCAGTACGGGTGAAAAGCCACAGAACGAGGCGTTGATGCTTATTCGTCGACAGATTGCAGTTCGCCAGAAATGAAGGGTGAATTCAACAGTGACCTCTCAAATACTACTAAGTGTTCAGTCAACAGACGCTGTGGTAGTCGCCGAAAACTTCAATGCTCAGTTGAGGTCCCTGGACGAATCAGAAAGGCTTCTTGGTGGTTCACATGCAATCCCAGCTAACCAGACGGACAACGGAGAACTCGTACTCCAACTTTGCTCTGACCACGGACCGTTCCTGTCAAACACGAGCCTCTCTCACTACGCCACCTTAAAACCACCAACCTGTCCACGGCGTTGGACTCAAATCGAGCACGTCGCCATCAACCACCACTGGCGAGGATCCATTAAGGACTGCCGCTCCTACTGGTCAACACCCGTGGATACAGACCATGCTCCGCTACGAGCGAGATTCTCCCTACATCCAGTAAACAACCGCAGAAAAGCCACCAAAAAAGATGCCCACAATACAGTATCAGCAACGGTTGCAAAATGGCCTTCGAAGTGGAAGTATCATATCGCCTCTCAGCTCAACCATCAGTCGGAGGAGTCACTGAACATTGGACGACAATCAAGGAAGCGATCCAAACGTCGATCAAAACAACAGCAAGTTCTGGCGCACAACTAAATCAAAAACGATGGATCACCCCGACCTCAGTTTCCTTCGGATTCAAAATACGACAAAGCCCATATTCTCTATAAACGCCTGCTCATCAATTGCGAGGAATGATAGCGAGAAGTGGTGGATAGAAAAATGTAGAGAGCTGGAGAAGGCTGCGGCTATCGGTAATAGTCGCAATCTTTGTCGATTAATTAGGAGTACATGTCCAAGGAAAGTAGTCGTGAGTTAATTAAGGCGTGTGATGGTACACTGATTAGTGTCCAACAACGCCGTCTTGAACGTTGGGCAGAACATGTTAAGTCACAGTTCAACTGGCCCCCGTCTACACAAGACCTCCCCCTACCCGCTTGGACTGTGTGAATATTGCCAGTTGACATCAGTCCTCTATCTGAAAGGGAGATTACCCTAGAAATAAGCTATCTCCCGGCCTCGACGGGCTGTCCCCATCGGTTTTTAAGGATAGAGGTCCAGCCTTGGTTTTGGAGCTAAAAAACTCCTGGGCTCAGTGTGGGAGAGGGAACCGGTTCCAACTAAATGGTGTGAATCGGTCATCATACCGATTTACAAGAAAGACAACAGGTCCTCTTGTAAAAACCACAGAGAAATTAGTTTAATCAACATCGTCTCTAAACTTCTTGCTGGTAATATACTCCGTCGGTTGTCTGCCGCACGTGCACAGTGCACGTGTGAGAACCAGGCTGGTTTTAGACCTCGTCGAGGGTGTATCGACCACTTCACTCTTCACCAAACTCTAGAACACAGTTACTCCTTTCGTAGATCCACCATTTCTATTTTCTTAGATCTGAAAGCGACTTTTGACTCAGTTGACCGCTCCAAACTTTGGCGCTGCCTCACTGTAAAGAGTGTACCCGAGAAGTTTACTTCAGTATCACGATCCTTCTATACTAATAGCCAAAACCCAGTCCGAGCTTACGGCAATTTTTCACCCAAGTTTACTGCGGAAAGTGGTGTTCGACAGGGTTGCCCTCTCTCTCCGTTTCTGTTCAACTTTGCCGTGGATTTAATTCTTGAAGCAGCCTGATCCTCCTGCGAGAATAGCGGTATCGATTTACTCCCAGGTGGCAGACTGTCTGATTTAGAGTATACAGGTGACATTGTGCTACTAAGTGAAGATCCCGCCTCGGCAGGAATGGTTGGACAAAGGTCAATGGTGGTGGTGGTGGTGGTGGAGGGTGTGAAAACCCTAACCAGGAGACTGGATCACACAGGTCCCGTTAGGCTCCCTGATTGGGGATCCCGAGATCATGGTCACCGATGATTAGAGGCGCTGAGCCATATGGGTGGATGTTGCTAACAGTGGCGCTCATTCATCTACTCATTATTCTCCTAACACCAGCCTATATGAATTCTCCATCTTCTGCTTAATTTGCTTTCAACATTTAAATCTTTATCCTACTATCTTATCCAAATGTTTTATCCAAAACCTGCGCACGAAAGTGTATGGTTAATGGTTGTAAAACCTGAACTGAACTGAGTGGTTTAGTCGTTGTCACCGGCGTGCTTTGGATCCTAGGGTTCGAGGTTTGAACCCTGTCACCGCCGCCCAACTTTTGTGGTGGGTAGCTGTGGTGCCGTCCGGTTCAATACCACGCCTAACCGAGCGGGGCCGTATGTTGTTCGCCACTCCAAGGTCCTTAGGTTACCGATTTTCATCGCTGAACTGCTGGTCATCATGACCATTGGTTCCGCCCCGTACGCTGTGTAGTAAAATCAACCAGCGCATTCTATGGAGGCCAAACGCTTGCTCCAGCGGGCGGCCGCGATTACATACAACTCTGCGCCTAATCTCAGCATTACTTTTCAGGCATTCCCACCAGACTCATGCAAAGCGATGTAATCTGAAGTTTATCCGTCTTGCGTTTGGGAGTTTATGGGTGATAAGCTTGTTAATTCAGCGAATTCAGATTCGTAGGTTTCCGTTTCAGTGGCGATCATCTACCCTGAAAATGTAACCTTAACTATCCGCTCATAAATTTCATTCTATAGGGAGTGATGCATGTCTCTGGGCGTCCTTGTGCTGCCTTCGATCCTGAGGGTTTAATTTTTGCCGCTGGTATCAACTCTGAGTCGGTCAAGTTGTACGATCTACGGTCATTCGACAAAGGACCTTTTGCTACCTTCAAACTCGGTACAGAAGCGAGTGGGTGTGTTTGGACAGGGCTTCAGTTTTCCGCCGATGGAAAGACATTGTTAATCGCCACAAACGGAAATCACATTCGTCTTGTTGATGCATTCAAAGGTACTCACTTGCATACGTTAACGGTAAGTTCTTTCTCCATTTGCGTATAATCCTCGTATGACGTTACATTCGGAGTACTTTTTGTTGCTTGATGTCAATTTACTTTGGCTTATAATTGAGACTATCGCTTGACAGCTGTTTTTCGATGATGTTAACATTGAATGTTCCTATCGAAATCTTTGTATTCAGATACCCTAAGATGTAATCAGGCCTGACACAATATTGCATATAGACACTTTTGGTTATATCTTTCAAACTTTTCGTTTTTCAAACAAAATATCTTATGCCTACATTTCCCCGTCCTGAGACGGCAGCTACAACTAATTTACGTTGGGAGGTACAAATTTTAGCAGACGTAGTACATATTCTAACCAGAGAAACATACTGGCGATTCTTTCTGACAACACATTTTCCTCCGATACACTTAGACACACAACGGGTTACATCAAGGTTGCCAACCTTCAGTTCATGTTAGTCCTCGACACACAAACTCAGTCTGCCTACCATGAAGCTGAACCGATCCCCTCTATGACAAAATATTCGCAACATTTCAGCCTCAGTGAAACACTGAGTTTTCTCGCATCACCTTGCACCTGGAAGGCTTGGACAAACTAAAAGCTGGAACTGAAAGGGGCAAACAGGCGTTTTAATTTATCAAGTGCGCCTTGCGCATCCTCCACACATGCCAACAGGTAGATAATGTCACTGTTCTCCAAGTCCCACAGTTTTGCTTCTGTATCCCGTTCAATCCCCAAATTTCAGAGACCTCGTAAGGCGTTTATTCTGTCTCCTCTACGATGAAGCTGAACACAAATGATGAACCGGCGCCCCTCGCAGTTGAGCAAACTACTATATTCATACTTACTTGACCAGAAGTATTTATGTACGGTGACATACCTCTGGGACATTTCTCAGCTACAAATCAGTCGATTGAATCAAGTGCACCATTTAGATCACACACATGTTGTATATATAACAGTAAATGTATCTCAAAACCGGTGAGCAAGCAAATTACAGGGTAGCGGTAACAGGGTGTGACAGCAATAGTAGGAACAAGGTCTACTCGGCAGGCAGTCGAGCGTAACAATAGCGCAACACTAGTTGCGATACGGTTTCAGTTTCGGAATAAAACCATCGAGAAGGAAGGTACAACAGATTTAGATAAAGTATGGTAAATGCTAGCCACTCGGAACACTCACAGAGTAAGGTCCAGAAATATTTTGTCAATGGGCAAATGCGATTCTAATAGTCCATTAGCATCATCACCACGAGGAGACCAGGTTTTGCAACCATAGAATAAAAGACAGACCTTTGCGAAAATTTAGGTGTCACGGCAGTTTCACAGTCGGCTCAGGTTAACAAAAGCAATCGTAGCTTTCACTATTCTTGCTGTGATCTCGAGCGGTTCAAGTCGTGTGTTTTGGGTCTTAGAGTCCGAAATCTGAACCCCGGCGCCCTAACCGAACGTTAGTGGTGAGCGGCTTCGCTGCTGTCTGGTTTAATACCACGCCTAAAATAGCGGGGCTTTATGTGGTTCACCACTCCAAGTCCCGTGGCTCAGGCTTCCGATCTTCTTGAGTGAACAGTATTTGTCTAAGCAGTCCCACAGAGCACATTTCAAATCGAACAAGTTCGTTTTCAGTGATTCGTAGTCATGCCAAATACATCACAATAGATTTTATATAAATCCTCACCAATATTCCAATCAGCGATACCACCGAATACCTGTGTAGTTATGTGCAAAGTAACAATGCTGAGATAGGCCTTCCTTTGGGAGACCTGAAACAACTACTTTATTTTTTGCACATACAACGACCAATTCAAGTTCAACGGGCAGACTTATCGACAAAAGCATGGTGTAGCTATGGGATCACCTCTAGGACCGTTGTTTGCCGATGTGTTCATGGCGAAACTCGAAAATAATCATTCAGGATTGTGTATTATATACACGATATGTGGATGATATTCTGTGCGTGATCATCACAACATCAGGAACAAATGAGCTCTTGAGCAAATTCAATGCTGCTCACTAGAACATAATATTTACTTTATAAATGGAAAACGACAACAAATTGACATTTCCAGACTTTTGTTTGAGTCGTAGATCGGATGACTCGGAGCAACGATCAGTGCATAGGAGGGCGACTTGGAAGGGCCAATATATTCATTTTCGCAGCTTTGTAACGCTTAAAGTGAAGAGGAATTTGGTGCGCTGCCTAGCAGATAGAGCAAGGAAAATTTGTGGTGAGGACACAATAAAAGAAGAGCTCCGGTTCTTACGTACTATCTTCACACACAATGGCTATCCAGAACAATTGGTTAGGAATATGATTCAGTGCGGTAGAGGTATTGTGAAGAAGACCGAGGTCAGAAAGAAGTCGGTATACATGGCCTTGCCGTTCAAACGGGGATACATCAGCAGAAGTAATACAAAGGAGACTATCAGATACTGCTAGTAATACCTTCTATGCAGCAAAGCTCAATGTTTTGTTCACTTCCCAGCCAATTGTGTGTTTACGACTAAAGGTCAAAATGCCGGATTCTGTCGTCTCACTTTGTGTGTACTCATTTACGTGTTCCTGGGGAACCACGTACATAGGCCGCACGGTCAGGCATTTGTCCAAACGAATCCATGAACACCACCCCGCATGGCTACACACAAGAACGATTAAGTCACTCACTAGTGCAATGGTTTCACACCTAGTTGAAACAAATCACACTGAATGTGACCGAGGCATTCCGTCCCCTGTATCAGGTTCGTGGTCGATTATCAAGGCAGGTTCGCTGACGTATGCTAGCCACAGCGGAAGCTGTAGGAATTCGTCTGCACAACCCCCTCTGTATGCCCAAAAACAATTTGTGCAGGCGCTTAAGCTCCCCTGGCCCACCCCCTACACACCCCATATTCCGAGTGGTCCCAACGGTCGGATGACCTAACAATTATGTGATCATTGAGAATTCCACATTCGGTCTCAAGGTGAACTTAGCCCCAGATAACCCATGAGGTTATTTTCCCTTTCCCGAAACATCTGTTTGCGTTTTATGGCTGAATACTGATTTGTATATAAACAGCGTAACATTTATTGTGATGTATTTGGCATGACTACGAAGGCGAAGGCCTCAGTATGGTTGGGGGTGGGTGTCTAGGGTTGCGGCTGGTCNTCCAGGCCTATACGATGGCGCCTGCCCTGGAGCGGCGCGTTACAGTTTCAGGACATTTGCGATCTATCAAGTTTGAATGCTGACGTCAATGACACGTGCATGGCTTATGAATACACGTCATTGGTAGATGGTGCCAGCCAATCCAAGACAATGCTGACAGAAGCAAGATTATGCAAGCAGTACTGAAATCCCATTTGTGGAAACCCAGATAGCTAATAATCCCCCTTTGTACATATTATTTAATCACCTTCATTTCTTCCAATAAACGAACTACTGCTTACTACCATTCATGTGGCCTTTTTGTCGCGTCTCGTTCTCGTGGGACATTGCGAATCCGTGCCATTGTGGTCCAG